ATATTACTCTCCAAAAAAAAATTTAACCTTGAAAAAATTTCATTCAAAAACAATCGCGTACGGTTCGTGACTTATTTCATAATTGGAAAGATGTCCTCGAGAGGAAATGACAAATCATTAATTTTTTTTTTTTTAATAACCTTTGTATTTTTCTTTGTATTCATTTTTTTTGTGAAAAATAAAGATGTTGACAAAGGTAACTGTTACACATGCTCTCAGATAAGAATTAAATTATCTCAAGGAATGTTGAATGCCTTCTTATATAGTATCATTCATGTAAAAAAAAATAATAAAAAAAATTAATAATATGCAAAAATTTATGAAACAAAGAAAATAATAATTTATTATACTGTCCATCATTTAAAATTCTCAATTTTTAGAAAGTCGGGAGTAAAAAGAAGAAATTCACTTGCAATTTTTTTCCACTTCGTATGAATGAGTGAAACTGGATGGAAAAAAAGGAAAAGAAAAATAAAAGAAAAGAATTCGATTCAATTGCATTGGAAAAATAATGCAGGATAATGGAAGGTTTGCAAGATATTGAAGTTCTTTTTTATATACATCAGCGAAATCTTGACTCTCTCATGGTCACTTGAACATGTGATACATGATGTGATGATCGAGAAAAAAAAATATATTATATAGGTATACATTTTTTTCTTAATATAATTTTATAATAAATTATAAAATAAGTAAAAAAGTAAAAAAAATTTTTTAAAAAATTTTAAATGTATAATAGAAAAAGTTGATAATAATGTTAATAATAATATTAATAATAATAATAAAATAATAATTATAAATTCAGTAATAACCGCAATAACACGAAATATTCCTGGAATACTCCATTCATATTCCTGGAATATAAATAAAATATTCCGTGGTATTGGGGAAAAGTAGTAAAATAATAAAGGGAAGTAAATAAAAATTCGAAAATAATTAATATAAATAATGAAATAAGTAATTAAAAATAATTTTAAAAAAATAAGTTTTAGAAGAAGCAAAAAATAATAAAACATTAATTACAAATTCAGTGATAAAAATAGTGAAATAGTTGAGTAGTGTAACTAAAAATACTAAAATAAAAATAATAAGTCAAAAGTAAAAAATTAATACAAATAATAAAATAAGTAATTAAAAATAGAAAACAATAAATATAAAGTATTATAATTTTAAAGATGTTTAACTTTTTTGGATTATAAAGTATTATAATTATAAAGTAAACGTTAATAAAAATAATAAAAAAAGAAAAATAGGTTACAAAGGAAGTAAATAATAACAAAACATTAATTATAAATTCAGTGATAAAAATAGTATAAAATAGTTAAGTGATGTAACTAAAAATACTAAAATAGAAATAATAAATCAAAATAAATACAAAAATAATTAAATAAAAAAGTATAAAACTAAATAATAATAAAAGTGAAACAATAAATAATAAAATAAATAAATAGAAATAGTACAATAATAATATGTAATAAACTGAAGCATATATTCTACTATGAGTAATCCATTTAATAATTGAAGGTTCCTGATTAATATTTTTTCCTTTTTTTTGCAAAAAAAAAAAAATTTAATGTGAAAAACTTGCGGAAAAATAAGTGTTTAAAACAACAGACTGAACTTTGTTTTCAATGTATAATTGCTGTTGGCACTTAAGTCCCCAGGAGAGATATAATCGAGCAAAGAATTCCAAGATGATGAGATGGCCACTCTGATGTCACTCTCCTTCATTATTATTTTTTTTTTTTGCCTCCTTTTTATAATATATCAATTTGCATTCTAAAATAAAAACACAGAACTGCAGAAACTATTTCCATCGGAGGAAATATTGACAAAAAAGAAAAGAAACTTATTCTTTCATTTTTAAATTTAGACTCTCATATAGAGATTTTAAACTTTCATGAAATTCACAACGTTTATAGTCAACAATTTAGAAGGAAAAAAATATTTTTGGTAAATTTGTGTTCTTCAATTTTTTTGCATAATTTTTTGATTAGGAATTTAAAAAATAAATTTGTGAACAAAAAATTTTGTTGCTATTGCCTCGTGTCAATAAAATTTAACGCCCTTACTTTGATTTTTAAATTTAATTAAAAAATAATACAAATTAATCTCCTAATTAATTAATTAATCTAATTCGAATAATAACAACAATTTAATTTGTAAACAGTACAAAAAATTAGTTCGCGATTAGTACGAATTTAATTTGAAAATAGTAAAATTTATTTCGGAAATAGTACAAATTTAATTTGAAAATAGTGAACTTTACATACGATATAGTAAAATTTGGTTAGAAATTTAAAAATAATTTCTACTTTTTTAACCATTAGAAGTTACTTGAAATTTTTCGAGATATTTCTTTTTTCGTAGTGAATTTTTTAAAGGGACTTTAAAATGATTAATGTTTGGATAATGGTAAAATGCGAGATGGAATTATAAATGCTTCATCTTTCATGAAAGAAGTGTGAGGGTAAAAAGAAATTTTCCTACTACGTCGCACACTCATATTTCGTTCCAGAAAATCTGTATCATCTCAAGTTCAAGTATTTTCTTTCAGTTGTCATAACCATTCACATAGAACCAGAGTTGTGCTAAATATTGTCACATAATATGCTCTTTTATCAAAGAGGCGACAATTCATAATTCAAATAATCAACATTGAAAAAAAGTCATTTAAAAAAAAAAAAAACTTCTCACGGTTTTCAATACGAAATTTGATATATATTCTAAATCTATTATTTGAAGCAATAATTTTAATTTGAATCAAAAATTATATTCATATTTTAGAAAATTCGAGAAAATTAAATAAAATAAAGAATAAATTGAAGGTTTACTTTAACAAAGTAAAGTAAAGAAAAGTGAAATAAAACAAATAGAAAAATTATTTCTATTTTTGAAGGTGAAATTCATTTGTCTTCAAGAATCTGAAACATTATCGTTTATATTTTGAATTTTGAAATCATTTTTTTTTTTTAAAGAAAAAGTTGTTTTTGTTGGGAAAAAAGTAATAATTAGAAATAAATAATTCGAGAATTTTTGTTGACATAATTAGAGAAAATATTTTGAAGGATGTATAATGAAACGCATTAAAAGGTCATCAATGAAATATTCAAATTTCGGTTGATGAAGAGAAAAAGATAATAATGACGAAATGGAACAAAAAATTAACTCGACTTTTTTTATTATATAAAAAAAATAGTTTTTTTTTTGTGTCAGGGAAAATTTTTATTTATAAAATTTAATTTTATAAAATTAATTTATTCTTTTTAAACAATCATTTTTTCAGTATCAACTTCTTACTTTAAGAAACTATTACTTATTTTAAAAATTTAAACAATTGCTTCTGATGAGGAAATTGCTTTTTATTTTCTCCAACTATTTCTCATTTTCGTAAATTTTTTCTTATTTTAAGAAACATTCATATTTTTAAAAGCAAATTCTTAATTCTATAAAATTTTTCTTAATTCAATAAACTTTTTCTTTATGTAAGACATTTTTTCTTAATTTACAAAATTGCATTTTACTTTAAGAATTTTCTTTCCTATTTGAAGATATAGTTGCTTTTTTCAAAAAATTTAATATAATAAAAGCCTACTTTGTGTTTTAAAAAAAGCTTCTTTTTTTAAATTATTACTTCAATAATCTTCTTATTTTAAGACTTATTTTTATTATAAGAAACTTGTTCTCATTTTAAAGAATTTCTCTTTAATTTTAATGATCTTTAAATTACATACTTTTTATTTTTCACAAATTCTTTCTTTTTTCAAGAAAATTGCTTCTTTTTCCGAAAAATTACTTTCTATTCAAAAAATTCTTCTCTAATTAAAAAATTATTATTAAAATTATTAATAAACTTATTTAAAAAAATTATATTCTACACGAAAAAAGAAACCTTTACCTAGATCAACTACAAATTTCACTATATTAACGAAATTTTTAGTCCTATCAATTAAGACTTTCGCTATTTTAGAGAAATTTATCGCTGCTTCAGGTGAAGATCTTTGACAAAAAAAACTCTTTAAAGTTTGTTAATGAACAAAATTTATTTTTTTCTTTTCCAAATTCAAATTTTATTATAATAATATTGAGTCAAATGATTAGAAAATAATTAACATGTCTCTAAAGTTTCGAATGTTTAAATGAAAAAAATTTATTTCTCTTTTAAATTCAAATTTTATTACGATAACATTCATTAACGTAATAAAAAAATAATTTATAGTTTCAAAATTTGTAATTTAAATTTTTTGCTTTTCCTCATAGAGGATATATTTTTTATATCAGTTATAAGTAAATTTATGTGAACATATTTATAGTGAAAAATTATTTCGTTTACTTGAACATACAAATCTTTTTGGACAATATTAAAAAAATTGCAACTGATAAAATTTTCTTCCACAACAGAAGTCAACTTTTCAATAAACTCAAGTGAATAAAAATTTGTTTTTTATCGAAAAAATACACCTAGAAACTACATTAAAAAAAAGATCCTATCATTTGACTCAGAGCCTACTAAATTTTTTGTTTCAAATAATAATTTTATTTGGCAGAAATAAAATTTATTTGCAAAAATTTATTTAAAACAAGTAAATTAAATTGGGCTCTGAGACAAAATACACTTGAGTCAAATAAATTATATTTGGTTCAAATAAAATTCTTCTCTGTGTACGTAGATTCCCTTGAATGAAAAGAACCCAAAAAACCTCAAAAATCTTCAAAAATAAAATATTTCAAGGCCAAACGATAGTTGATGATTTTTTTTCTTTTAATTTACAACCAACGTCGTAACTTGATGAAAATAAAACTTTGCCAACGTTAATATTTCAAACCGCAGTTGATTACAAAACTGACAAACGTCAGGTTTATCGACTTCACTTGTATATATATATACATATTATATATTCTATATATACATATTCACACACTGGAGCAAAAAGTTATATATACGAATATAAATAAATATCCCAAGTTTATAATCGGATTAAAAAAGTATAAGGATTTACCTCTGAGCGAGATAAGATCGCATTCCTTGCGCGGCAAGTTTCATCAGTGATGTATCCACGTGCTCGAACAGTTAAGTATATATCCACTTGCGTAAACGCAGATCGATATTGTGTATACGCCGGCAAAATTATATCCTTCACCACGTTGTCACGTCAAAAAAAAAAAAAAAAAAAATTGTCAAAAACTTTTCTTTTCTTCAACCATCATCATTATCATCAACCACGTGACTTTTGCTTTTTAATAATAAATCACTTTCTTTTGCTCACACACAGAATTTTTTTTTGACACTATTTTCTTGTTGTTACGCTTTTGTATAGTAAAAATTAAGTGACACAAAATAACAACAAGCGCGGGAGATTTCAAATTTCATGATATCGGCGAATTATCCAAATGATGAGTTTTAGACACCAATATATCCTTTTGGCTATTTAACATCACTAGCACTTTTACGTTGAAAAAACTCATTGCGAGTTCATTCACTATTCACTACACTTTTTTTCTATTACGACAAAATTTTTTTTTCTAAATTCATCTTCAGGGAATGTATTCATTTTTGAATAGTAATTATTTGTTTAGATCCAAATTTATTGATTAATTCATTTATTGATTAATTAATTAAATGAATTCATTTATTAATTTAATTTTTTTATTAACTCATTCATTTGAGTTCGAATGTATTTCGAGTCCTATCCACTCGGGAGTGTAAAACTACCCCAAAGGTAATTGACACTTGTTAATCGGACTTTTTTCAAATCTATTTTTTATTACTTGTCACATCGATTACTGTCAATTACTTTGAATTCCAATCATATGAGAATATCTAACTTCAAATGACAAAATCATGAGAAAAAATAATTTTATTTTTGAAAAATTGAGATAAGAAAAAAAAAATATCGATAGTTGTTGTTGTTTTTTTTTTGGAATGAATAGGAGAAAAAATACGCGGCACGTGAAAATGAAAATCGAACAAGAGTCCGACCTCCGCGACGGTCGAAATAACACTGAAAACGAAACGCCGTTGAGCTGAGCAATGCTCTAAGCACAAGAACCATGAAGAGGCAGGAGTCACATTGCCGCTCGCTCTCTTTGAGTCTGGAAGCCAACGATGCTGCCAAACCACCAGCAACCGTTCGACAACGACTGATTCCATACAACTCAAGGGAACTCATCAATGCATTCAATTTTGCATCCTTCTCTCCTTCAATAGTTCTATGTATACCCAGGAGGTACTTGAATGCAGGACGTATTCCTTATAGCCCAAGAATCTAGCATCTATTTCTCTGAAGCCAGATGTTACTTCTCTTATATGGTGTACACATCAAGATTGTACCATATTCCGAAGTGGAAATTCAAAATTATTGCTACTACCTGGTTTTTGACCTTTTGTTAACTAGATTTCTTTTTTTTTTTTTTGATAGTAGATGTGAATTTGTTGATAGTAGGATAGTAGAATTTCGATTTAAAACTACTGAGTGGTACTAGGGTTGTAGTTAAGTACCAAACATTTTAGGAATGTTTTTGAATCACATTTATGAATCATTTTTTAGAACTGTTTTTGAATCATCCTTTAAAAATGTTCCTGGATCGAAATTTGGAATGCCTTCTAAAATACTACAAATTGGTACCAAAACAGCAGCAGAAAAGCAACAATTTTGTGATTTCGGCTAATTGTCAGCTACATTCAGTAGAAATGAATCTTATATTTAGAGGAAAAATCTTCTAATATCCTCTCTCAGGACTCAATTTCGTTCAAAAATTAAAAAAAATTCTCATCAAAATTTCAATTATCTTTAGAAATAATAAAGTTTTTCTCCAAAATTCAATTATTTTCAAAAATTAACCTCAATTAAATGATTTTTATTATTTATTATTTTAATAAAATTTCCCCAAAGAATTCAATTGTTTAAAAAAAAATTTGATAAAATTCTACTCAAACATTTAATTATTTTCATAAAAAAATAAAAATTTCACAGTAATTCAATTATTTTTATAAATAATAAAATTTTTACGGGGATTCAATTATTTTCGTAAATAATAAAATTCTTTTTAGGAGTTCAATTATTTTCATAAGTAATAAAATTTTTACCGAGATTCAATTATTTTCGTACTAAAATTCTGTTTAGGAATTCAATTATTTTCATAAATAATAAAACTCATTGCAGAATTTCAATTATTTTTAATAACTATTTTAATCAAATTTCTCAAAAATTTATTGATAAAATGCTTTATTAGAATTCAAATTATTCAATAAATTATTTATTTTTGTATTTAAATACCTAATTGAATTCCAGTAGAATTTTCTAATAAAAGTTGATTTAAAAATAAATTTCATTTAAAACCTTAGATTATAATTGAATATTTAAAGCTTTATAGCGTGAATTTTTAGAAATAATTGAATTTTAAAAAGGTTTCAAATTAAAAACTTTGAAAATTTGAATTTTTCATATTTTTATCTAACAATTCTGTAGAAAAATTAATTATTTTTAAAAATTTTATTTGAAAAATATTATTTGAAAAATTTTATTTGAATTTTACTTGAAATTATTTTTTTGCAGTTTTTATTTACTAATATGAATTTAACTGAAAAATATCTGAATATTTAAAATTTTCTAAAATTGAATTGAAATAAAATGAATTTGAAAATTATCAAAGAAGTTTTTCAAAAATTATTATAAATAATGGATTTAAAGAAGAATTTTAGTTAAAAAAACAGTGAACAATATTTAATTTTGGAGAAGTTACAAATTATATTGCAGAAATTCAATTATTTCCATAAATAATAACATTTTTTACAGGGATATAATTATTTTCTTAAATAATATAATTCTTTTTAGGAATTCAATTATTTTCATAAATAATAAAACTCATCGCAGAATTTCAATTATTTTTAATACAATTTTAATCAAATTTGTCAAAAAATGTAATTATTCTTAAAAATTTTATTAAAATTCGTCTGAGGGGCCGTCCATAAACTACGTTACCAATTTTTCAGACTTTTTAGACCCCCTTCCCCCTTGTTACCATTGCGTTACATGTAAAAATTTCAATTTTTGGACCCCCTCCCCCCTTAAATTGGTAACGTAGTTTATAGATGTAAAAATAATTGAAATTTTCACAAGAATTTTATTTTTAATTTTTGAAAATAATTTATTTTCGGAGAAGAATTTTATTATTTATGAAGCTAATTAAAATTTTTACGAGAATTTTTTTAAATTTTCGAACATATAATTGAATTTCTACTACGAATTTTATTATAACTTTGAAAATAATTGAATTTCTCCAATCATTTGTAACTTCTTCAAAATTGAATTTTTTTAGTGTTTTCATTTTAAATTTTTCCAAAAATTAATTATTTTTAATAATAAATTTAATTTATATTAAAAAATTTAATTAATTTCAGATGAATTTGAGTTATTAAAATTTTTCCAAAATCTAATTGAATTCACTCAAAATTGAAATTTTATAGATTTTAAAATTAAAACCTTTTGAAGTTCATCTATTTATGAAAATTAGTAAAATTTCCTAAAAAAAATAGTTAAATTCGCTATTGAAAATTGTAACTAAATTCGAAGAAAATTTTAATAATATTTATATATAAAAATTAACTTTGGAAATAGATAAAATTTACAAAAAGTAAAAATTATGTTCTTGAAATTTAATTAAAAATATTTTCAAATTACAAGTATAAATTAAATAAATTTAAATAAAATACTTTAATTCAAATAAAATTTTTAAATTAAAAAAAATTTAAACAATAAAAATTTAAAAAAGAATTTAAAATAAAAATTTTCTTTAAATTCACATTTTACATTTGAAATAATATTCAAAGTAACAGCATGAAGAAAGAAATTTATCTGGACAATTGAATCATTTTTACATCCTGCAGGATATGGCAGTGACCTTGTCTATTATGCGCGCACACAACACCAGTAGAGCGAAGGGACAAAAAGAAAAGAAATTTTCCGGACAATATTCATCTAATGGGATATAAATGCAGGTGAAAAAAAAATATTTCCCAATGGAGTTAAACCTCTATGTTTGTGTATTTTTTTTCTAATTTTTTTTACTCGTGGGTGGCAATGTTGACAGCAGTTTTCTATACGGATGCACGTGAGAACTATAGAGCTGTCAGAATGACAGTTTCACTATATATCTATACGTGTATAATATACGCTTGCTGGGAAGTCATAAGTGTTGGCTAAGTTACTCTCCTAAGAGCAATGAAATCCGAAGAGTGACTTCATGACCGTCTAATGGCGTCTCGGGACCACCAAGGAATCATCATAACACTCAGGAAATTTATAATATTTCTAATGCAATTTAGGAAATTTATTATACTTTGCAGTTTTTTTTTCTTTTTTTTCAGTTTAATGCAATATCTAATGCAAAATCTTTTATTGAAAAAGTTATTCATATTTTCCGTTAGAATTGTCTACAACAATTTTGACCCAAAGTCACTATTTAAAAAAAAAAAAAAAAAAAAAAAAAATTGACAATTACCTGTCATTAAACATATTTAATCGCAAAAGTCAAGTCTGCTTCTGATTAATAACAGATTAGATAACTATAAATGAACTCGGAAAGAGAAAAAAAAGAAAAAAAAGAGAGAGAAAAGATTACAGAAACAAGGAAGTTAATAGAATGCAACAAACTGAAATATACGTTGAGTTGTTGAGTCGATGAAAAAGGTTTTAATTTTGAAATGTTGACCTCTGACTGCATACACTGTACAAGTATATATATACATATCTCGTGGAGCATAAATTTTTGCTGTCTGTCGAATGTCTACCGCTTTTACAACGCGGCTTATGTATATATACCGATTAGCCATATTGCCTGCTGTTATCGTTAACGAGAATATACCATGTGCAAAATAATTGGAGTGATCGACACCAATATATTCTGGCGTGGCGTAGGGAAAACTGAATAGAGACACACAAGGGGTTAATCGTACCTATATTTCTGACAACCGCGAAGATTTCACAACACCTTTCATAATTATATGTATACATATAGAAAGTTCATATTATTATCTGATTACCAGCGATATAAAATCAAACTTTTCTCTCATTCATTTAGAAAATTGTTCTTCGCCTTTTTTTCTTCAATTGTAATCGTATCTTAATCAACAATCTAATGAAACGTCAGATACGTTTAATGTGAAAGAGATTAAGTTCAATATTTTATTCTATTTGGAAAAATTCATTTTTCTATTTCATTCGTGTGAAACCGTTTTATAAAAAAGAATGTTTTAATTTTTAAGTAAAACGTTCACTATAGAATTGTATAAGAGTTATTTATATATTATTAAATTAATATATGTGAAATTGCAATTTTTTTTATTTGCGAAAAAATAGTCCACGGTTTCATAAAATTTTATTATTTATTTAGTTTATGACTATAGCAAAGATTCGCGCGCATCTAACTTTTTACTCGATTTAAAAAAAATTAAATTAGCAGGAATTTTTATTAAAAGTACCAGGAAAAAATTAAGCTTTTAAGAACTAATTAGAAAATTCTGAATTTTCGTGTATTTTTTGTTTGCCTCATAAATTATTAAATTTTCACGAATTCTAATACAAAACCTTCAATTTTTTCAATTTCTGACAATAATTTCTTTTTGAATAACTTAAATATTGAACAAACATCATAAAATAATGATTATAAATTGTTTAACGAATAATTTTACTTAAATATACTTCAAGAGTAATTCAATTTTAAAAGAGTTGCTTTTACAATTTTCATAAATAAATGAACTTCAAACGGTTTTAATTTTAAAGTTTATAAAATTTCAATTTTTAGTGAATTTAAGTAGAAATTTTAATCAACTTAAATTTTTTTAAATTCAACTTCTTCTGAAATTAGTTCAATTTTTTAATATTTAATTAATTATTCAAAATAATGGATTTATTAAAGAATTTTAGTTAAAAACAGTAAAAAAAATTGAATTTTGAAAAAGTTATAAATGATTTCAGAAATTCAATTATTTTCAAAAGTAATAAAA